AGAATTGAGAAGGAGTTTGGAGAACTGTGAAGGAGTTTTGGAGAGTGGAAAAGGAGTTTGGAGAGAGAAAGAAACCAAGGAACCAAGAGAGCAGCATTGACTTTGTTAAAGACTACAGGGGGAAAACAAATCTCAAACCAAGGCAAGTGAACCATATACTGTGACTCCTAGACTGTGGGACAGTGGGCTGAACAAGGGTCAGGGACTCAGGAATGGGACTTATCCTGCCACACCGGTACTGCTTTGCTTGCACCTCTGTTAATTGGACCTCCTGGGACTGAGCCACCTGTTTGAAAAGGTGCTGGAACTGTTTGAAGTCGTCCAGCTGAGACATGTCTGCTGGGAACACCGCTTCATCAGGAGAGGAAGATGAACGGTCAGGAATTGGGATCTCCATCTGTTGGTCCTCCACTTTCAACAACTGGACCTCTTCCGGCTCAGATTGTTGTGCAGTTGTGCCCGGACTGCATACAGGAGGGGTCGGCAGATGATTATGTTGCAACTACAGTGACGTATGTTTCACTGGTGGCCGATCAGAGCGTGGAGATTGCTGATGTTTGCACTGGAGATAGCAATAGCGTGAAGAATAAGGTGAGTCATGTCTGTGGTAGTAATATTGGTCAGATCAGTGAGGTGACGAGTACCTGGCCAATTTGCAACTTGAATATTGCCTCTCGTAACTGGCATGCGGAGATCGAAGCGGAGAATACGAATAATGCAGTGACCGCCTGTGTGGCGGGGAGTAGGATTGTTGCCTGTAATGATTATTGTAATGAGGACAAGATCTGTATGACGAGTAGTGAGTCCTGCGGTAATAATGATGTATTGGACTGTCATGACAGTAGAAATGTTGTAGTGGTGACCAGTATAGCGGAAGCGAAGGGGAGGGTCCTGGTGAGAATGTTAGAGATGGAGAACGGGGACTCCCTTGCTTCTGTGTTTTCCTAGCCTCTTTAGTTGGTGCTTTGCCTGCATCGGTGCCAATGCCTCCACTGGTGCCAGCGCTTGACTCCCCAGAGGCTTTGCTGCCTCTGCCGGTGCCAGTGCCAGCATGCTTGTTGGTGCCGGTGGAGTTTCCTCCGGTGCTGATCCTGCCCGAGACGGTGCTCGTTGCTCCAGTGCCACACGCGGAGTCAAGTAGCGCAGTGCTGGCGCCTTTGAAGTGCAGGCGCCGCTTATTGGCACTGATGCCACTTTCAGCGCCGAGAGAGACTGCTCAGGGGCCATCATCTTTTTTGATTTTGTGACAGACCCTGGTGCCGAGGGTCGTGGAGTAGAGCCAGCAATGCCTGGTTTATCCCCTGCGCTGATCCTGTTTGCAGGATCAGGTGGTAGTGATTGCGCAGGGGACGCCTTCCTCCTTTTTTGCGAAGCCAGTTTGGGAGAAGAGACTCTTTGTGAATCCCTGCAGCTGATATGCCTGCCTCCAGCGACTTGTCAAATAACAACATTTTTAGGCGCATCTCTCCGTTCCAGTAGGTGCGGGCCGTAAGCTTAGAGCAATGCCTGCATTTTGGGGGGATGTGAGCCTCCCCTAAATAGCATATACACGCTGAATGGCCATCTGAAGCCGGCATGGGCGCCCAGCAAAGAGCACACTTTTTAAAGCCTGGGGATCCAGGCATCATTCAGTTTTCAGCTATGTCAGTTTCGTGTCAATTTCACTCTGCGGCTAAAGCCGCTAACCTCTGACCGCAAGAAGCCGCGGCAATTCAATACTTGTTAAAACAATCCTCTTTATTTTCCCCCTTTTTAGGTAACAGAAGAATGTTGAAGAGAAAGGGTGTAACCTACTTACAATTAATTATATACATGTCTCCTGAGGGAATTCAAAGAAAACGCTGAGAAGAGAAGAGCTCCGTCTTTGGTCAAGGACAGTTGAGAGGAACTGAGTGGGGAGCCAGTTGCACACAACAATCAAAGGGCGTGAACGGCACGAGCTGTTGATTGCGCATGCACAACCTGGCTGAACACAGCTACTGAAAGTCTCTGGACTGTGGCACCAGGACGAGCCTACACCATCAGTGGAGCACGCACGGGGACCACTCGAAGAAGAACTCTTGCTTTAGCTAACATATCATAAAGATCTGATCCAGTTCTTCTCCCCAGAAATGAGGTTCTGGTCTCATTTGTCTATCCCCATGGTAAAACAAAAGGAAAAAATATGTAGCACTTTTAGACTAACAAGATAGTTTATTAGGTGATGAGCTTTTGTGGGCCAGACCCACTCCTTCAGAGGAAAAATCAGAAAAGGTATTGCCATGCAGAAGACCTGATTTTTTGCTATCAAATCAGCAAAGACAATATACTTGGAGGAATTAATGGGTGGTTTTCTGGAAATGAATACAACTTTTATACAAGCTCTCATGAACTATTAGAGACATCCATCTGACGAAGTGGGTCTTTGCCCACGAAGGCTTATGCTCCAACACTTCCGTTAATCTATACAGTGCCACAGGACTCCTCGCCGCTATTACAGAAAAGTAATAGCATAGCCTTACATCCTCAAATTAACATGTTAAGATTGCGTTCAGCAGCAAGTGGGAGAGTACAATGAATAAAAAGAAAAATTAGGCTATAAAAATAATTCATATACTGATCTGAAATGTAGTTTTAATTCTATAGATGACTACTATATGAAGAGATAAAAAAACAAGAGCCACAAACTAGACCTGATATTATTATACCATATAAACACTGGGGAACAGAGTAGTTTTACACACATTTTTATTGATATTTACCATCTATTAGAAAGATACTTACCATAGTCAGAAAGAGTGCAGGCATGGGCAAATGACAGCAACATATCTAACATTGACACAGTGTCAGAGAGTTTGTATAGGCAATGGATATGTTCATAGATTTCACTCAGTAATTTACAGACTATTCTGCAAGCAGACAGTTCCGATTTAGTTACTGTACACTACATTTTATAGCTTATACACTGTACTGAAATAAAGCAACTATTAAGCTCATGATGTCAATATGGTACTTGGATACCAGGCATTTTATAAATGCCATAAGAATTTGTAAATATGGACTATTTTCTGGATTTCTAAAAAGCATAGTAAATTATTAAGGAACAACTTCTAGGCCAAAATTCTTCCATCATGTGCAGATAGACTTTCCAATGGCTTGAAAGGGAGCTGCCTGTACAAAACTGACTAAAAATAAAGCTTTGTAACTAATGGTGTTCTAGTGCTCTCCAAAAACTGACTCTAATTCCTTGAATCCTTCATTTTTAAATGAGTTCACATAATCTCCCAAGGATGATGTGGCCAAGGACAGCCTATGTTAGCATTTGTAATCTAGAGGAAAAGAGAATATATGCTCTTGGGTCCCTATATAGGCATAGTTTATGGAAAAACTGAAAGTAATTCTACTTAAAATGAAAGGCATACTTAATATAAATAATGGCTTCACATTGTCAAATTGCTACATTCATTGTGTCATTTTGTGTTGATAATAGTCCACAAAAATGTTTAATAAAGGCGATAAATATTCTTTTTTATGAATAAATCGCTATCCATTTTAATCATTATTCAGAATAATGTAGATTTAGCCTTTTAATGTGCTCTCTCATGAAGAACATTTTCTCTGTACAATCTGGATTGCTTTTATAAGACACCATCATTTAATAATGAAAATATATTAGACTATCTTATAACTAGTTGTTAATATGGCAAATAAATCAAGTTAACAACATATGAAAGAGTTTGAAATGTTCTTACAAGTAGGTCATATGATAAATTTCTCTCAAGGACTCTTGACACCTTTCATTCATTTTAATTAAGTCTGCTGAAGTAAAGCTATATGCATTTTTCATTTTAGTGA